CCCCTGTCGTCATAGGCAACTGTGATTGATGGATTGTCTGTTTTCCTACTCTACGTTGCTTAAGTAGAATCATCTATATCATCTTTCCTGTATTCAGGGTTCATATGCCTTGGCGCAAGTGCTAATACTTCTCTTTTTCTAATAGCATTACACTGGGTAATATTATTTATATTATTTAATATATAATTAATATTATATCCACACTGAGTTTACAGTAGTCTAACCATTTGCCATGTGATGGTCCTGTGGGTTATGGATGATGCCGCTGTGATCATTCATACATGTTTTTGTATGGAAGTGTGTTTGCATTTCCTTTTGAGGTATAAACCTAGCCATGGAATTGCTGGGTTAAGAGATTTAGATAAATCTAATTTTAAGATTTTGCAGAGCTGCTCGTCTGTTAACAAATGACTACACCATTTTACGTCCTTACTGATAAACACGTAAGTTTCCATTACCCACTTGTCAGCATCATTGGCTAAAACATGGTTTGGATTTTATTTTTGTAATAACTACTGGTGTTGAGCTTATTCAGTTGCTTATTGATCACTGTGTATCATTTTTGGAGAGATAAATCTCTATTCAGATTCTCTACACATTTTAATTTGGTTATTTTTATTGTTCATTTATAATAGTTCTATATATGTTCTCAATGCAATCCTCTGGTCTTACATGTCATTTGAAGAAAATTTCCTGTGAATTTTCATGACGGGATGCTTGAGTCATGTTCTACCATGCCTGAGTCCCTTAAAACCTGCTTTTTGTACATTTGTTCTGTATTTCCCCTGAGAGTAAGTATGAGAAACTTCCCATGCTAAAGCATCTTAGTCGACTCACACTCCAGTCCATCACAGCAAAAGTTTGGGGAATGCCGCAGCAAGGTACTTAACCCACTTACAAACGATGTTATAGAACCAAGATAATAGACTCCAAGACATGCTTCGGAAAACACTGAATCTCCAATCTGGTCAAAATTGTAAAAGTTGCATTGAAAGGGCTCTTTTTCTGGCCATTGATTCCATCTTTTATACATAGCAACAGTACCACCTTCTGGAGGTCTAAAGAAAGCAGAGGGATCCTTTTCAGAACTTAGGAACAATTTTTACAAAATATAATTGTCATCACTACTTAGATTATTACAGTGAGCTATTGCATGTAGACACCATGTCAGGAATGCTTTAATAATGAGAGAATCTACAAGATCACAAGGTATCTAAGAGACAGTATGAAAACCAGCAAGAGACGCAAATGGGACAGAGAAGGTCACAAGAGATTGCTGCTGCGATGAGAAAAGACAAGAGAAATGAAAACTTCTCCTTTTCTATTGGTCCATTGAAGAGGGTAGATAAAACACAAGACAGAAAAAATATATAAAAACCTTTACTCTACACCAAATAAACCAGTAGATGCAAGGAAATGTCGGCTCTCTCTGACTCTGCTTTCTTTCTCCCAGAATTCAGTTCTGGCCTCCATGCCTACCTCAGTTCTGCCCTATCAAGAGGCCAAGGCAGTTTCTTTATTCAACCAATGAAAGCAACACAAATAAATACAGAACCTCCTACACCAATAAAGCAAAGAAAGCCAGCCTGCAAACCACAATCTCAGAAAACTTAGACAACAATGCAGACACTGAGAGAGACTTACATAGACATAATCTACATGGGAAGTAGAAAGTAGAAAAAGACAAGATTTCCTGAGTAAATTATGAGCATGGGAACCTTGGGGGAGGCTTGAAGAGGGGAGGGGAGAGGCAGGGAGGGGAGCAGAGAAAAATGTAGAGCTCAATAAATATCAATAAAATCCCTGGTGTGCCCCATTGTTTATGAGGACAACAGTCATATTAGATTAGGTGTGACCGTGTGATCTCATTTGATCATTATTACTTCCTTAATTAAAGTCTCTCAACTGGGCGTGTCAGCACACACCTTTAATCCCAGCACTCAGGAAGCAGAGGCTACCCTGATCTACAGAGCAAGTTCCAGGACAGCTAAGGCTCCACAGAGAAACCTTGTCTTTAAAAAAAAAAAAAAAAAAAAAAAAAAAAAAAANTTTAAAAAAAAAAAAAAAAAAAAAAAAAAAAAAAAAAAAAAAAAAAATTCTCAATTTGAATATAGTCACATTTGAATATAGTCACATTGTCATGTTCTGAGGTGTACTGGCAGCTAGGATTTCAATCTATGAATTTAGAAGGAGGATACAATTTAGTTCACAATATTTACAAATTAAATGCATATGGTTCTCACAGCATCTCTAAGGCACATTTTTTCAGTTATTTTTCAACAGTTTGGATGATTGAATATTGGCCCTTACTTTTTAATCATCCAATCCATAGCTGTTAAGTAGAAGTCCCAGCAGGACAATCATCTCAAAGTGATACTGAAAACAACAACAACAACAACAAAACACTTAAAAACTTAGGTTAACAGCAAAGTGAAGAATCCAGACCCTAATCCAGCACTCTCTCCTTTGGCAGCCAGGACAGACCTAGCAAGACAAGGCCCCTGACTCAGCAGAATGTACTGAGCCCTCGACCTTGCCCAACTTTGCCCAACCTTGCCCTAACTAATTACTGGGAGGATCAGAAGTTAGCTGGCGACTCTGGATGTGCCTTACTGATTTGATGATGGAATGCAGGAACCGGCCCACCACGACCACCACCACCACCACCGCCGCCGCCGCCATGACTCCAAGTATGGCAACTTTTCTGCAGCTGCAGCTGACCAATCAGCTCAAGACAGCTTCCCCAGCCTGGACGTGTGCCAATCCTGACACTGTTACTATGCAACTAGCAGACCCTGAGATGACCCCCTTGGTCTACCCTCAATATTATACCCTGCCCCAGTGCCCAAGTGCAGCTCAGGTTTCTCCTATTCCACCCACTGGATCAGACAGACGGACAGAGGACATGAGTTAAGCCATAATTAAAAAGACACCTGGAAGCTGGGCGCTCGTGGCACAGGCCTTTATTCCCAGCACTTGCAGAGGTAGGTGAATCTCTGTGAATTCGATACCAGCCTGGTCTACAAGAGCTAGTTCCAGGACAGATTCCAAAGCTACAGAGAAACTTTGCCTCGCAAAACAAACAAAAAAGACTCTTTGGTTTTGCATCAAATCTGGTCTCTTGGTGGTTTGGGGGGTCCAGACTCTGGGCACAACAAAGATCTTCTCACAGAAAGTGAATTGAATAGTTCTTGGTGGAGTTAAAATTCAACTCGGAGGCAAATAGAGCGATCCCCATTCTGTACAAGAGAAAACTAGCATCCAGAATTTAAGGAACTTCCTTGGTTACGTGGATAACTGGGATTTGAACGAGGTCACTGTCAACACCAGGAGGCACCACGCCTAGCTGATTATTTACTTCATCCCCTAAACCGCCCTGATGGGAGTTTAGTGAGCCATAACAGAGTTCAAGAAATTGACTTTTAAAGGTTATTACTGTGTGGGTGTGTGTTTCTTCACGAGCATACACATGTTCATATATGCATGCATGCCACCGCATACATGTAGAGATAAGAGGACAACTTTTGGGATTTGATTCAGTGTAGGTTCAGGACCTGTGTGGTGTTTGGGTGATAACGCCCCACCCCCAAAGGCTCACATATTTGAAGTTTGAGCTCCAGTTTATGGAAACATTTGAGAAAGGGTAGCAGGTGTGGCTTTGTAGGAGAAAGCTTGTCACCTGGGGTGGATTTTCATTTCCACGCCATTTCCCAATTAGCTCTCTTCCTGCCTCGTGTTTGTGGATCAAGATGTGAGGTTTCAGCTTCTGCCCTATACCAACTATGCCCGCCTGCCTGCTGCCACGTCTCCTATCTTGATGGCCGTGGACTCTAACATTCTGGAATCATGAACCCCCAAAGTAAATACTTTCTTTTATAAGAAACCTTGGTTGGGGTGTCTTATCATAGAAACAGGGAAGTAACTAACACAGGATCTACCTCAGGTTGTCCGGATTTTCCATGCTGAGTCATCTCAACAGCCCCAGGAAATTGATTTCTCGATTAAGATTGTAATAACTCGTAACTTTTTAACTTAGGTGAAGGAATCTGCAGTTTCCATGTCTCACATCCTCCCCGCTTAGACTTGAGACTTGGGAATGCTAATAGAATTCCCCACTTCTCTGTGTCTCTGTTCCTTCAACTAAAGCCAAGAAAAATACCATGGCTGTGATTTTAATACAATCTGTCCTTTCAGAAGCACGAGCTGAATTTAATTCCTTGCGTAGAATATTAAGGGGTAGAAACAAATGGGATCTTTAAGAGCCAATTTGAGAGCTGCTTTCATGAGTGGGTTAAAGCTACTCAGGAGATCAATGGATTCGCGGGTAAATAAATGTGTTATCTCAGGAAAATCCTGCTCAACGAGGTAGTCCCATTTAGGTATCTCTTGACAGGTGAGGTCCAGCACAGCTGTGACCTCTGCTAGCAAGACCTTCACCAGAAGGTCAAAATGGAAATGACAGTCACCTGAATACTTAGAAAGACTATGACCATATGTATATTACAACTTTCTCCACACACAAAAAAATGCATTTAAATACAGAACCATATAGCAACATTTATATTTCTTTCACTATTATCTTAAAGTTCCCCAGTTCCAACACGTGGTAGGCCATTTCCTCTGCAAAACACGAGCATTTGGTGAGGCTGTAGTATAACACATGTAAATCTCTGGGGAATTTTCTTCATGAGTCGGGATTCAGTACTCACATGTTCAAAATTATTTGAACACAACAACTTCCAGGAAAAGCTAATTCTCACTGAAGCAATAACAGATATAACATAATATTCTTTCTATTCTCTCAAAAAAGAACAGGGGTTTGGGCCAAATTAATGCAGTTCTGAAATTTTCATAACTAGTGTCTCTATTGAGAATAGATTAAACCTTTTTTCCCATAACCAGTTAACGAGTCCCTGAAAAGATGCTATGAAAAGCTATTTGCCATCAGGACAAACTTGATGGCAAAACAGAGAAACTGTGAGAAATGAGAGAACCACAGCTTTTGTTTTTCAGAGTTTAATATTTTCAAAAAGACAGAAAATATAAAAGTTATCAAAAATATGAGAGTTCATTTTGGGGAAAAGTAATAGGATTGAAACTTGCAGCTGATTTGTGGTAGAGTCAGAACCATGGCATCTATAGCTGTCCAGTGTGAAGCCCTCCTACAGAAAGGCAGGAACAGGATGGATGAGAAACACCTAAGTCCTGCCCTGCGGCTTCCCAAGGTCCAAAGGGAACATCATTTTGCACGCTTAGATTCTACTTCCTCAAGAATCCACTCAATGCCATTCAAAAAGCCCGTCAGAGTTTCAGCCTCCATATCCTGGACCTGTGGGCAGATGAGAAAGGATGCTGTCAGTTCAAACCAGAATCCTAATGAGTGGCATTTCACTAGACATTATTTTTTGAAGAGCTAAAATAAAATGACCCGAACAAAGACTAAGTTCTGCAAGCACTATCACTGGGAGCAGCAGTGTAAATAAGTGATCTCTAACATCTTCTAACCACTTCAGTGTGTGTCTTATTTCCTAGTACTCAGCTCTAGAAATGGGAGGGACAGGCTTCTTGCACATTTCTCCAAAGGATCCTCTTTAAAAACTAAAACTCAGCCCCGAAGCTACAGAGAAACCCTGTCTTGAAAAATAAAACAAACAAACAAAAAACTAACTAAAACACTCTTTAATGAACCTAACCAGTCAACTAGTAAATGTGACATACTGTAAAGCTAACCAGACCCGAATGGACCTAACAGACATTAGAGAACACTTTATCCAAAAGCTGCAGAATATACACTTTTTTCCAACATAGATTAGAACATTCTTTAGAATACACATTATTTTAGACCACAAAATCTTTAACAATGGTAACAATAAAGTAGAAAAAAATCATATGTATTTTTAAGGTTAAATGCAGAATAAAACTGGAAATAACAACAAAAAGTTAGAAATGGGCAAATGGATAGACTTTGCATGCTATTAAACAAACAATGGGCCAATGGATAAATTAGAAAGACAAATAAAAATGGGGAAAATGTACCAAATATGGGATACAGCAAACACAGTACATAAAGGCAAATTGGAGCAACAAATACCTATATTGAAACATGCACACATACGCACGTGCACATATACACACACGATTTCAGAAGTAGGGCATACTTGGGGCCCAGCCCCAGTAAATAAATAAGATTTCAAACACACAAGCTAACAATGTATCTGAGGGGCTTAGGGAAATCAGGGCAAAACAAACACCATATCATGAGATATGAAGAAACAACCAAGAAAACAGTAGAAATAAAGGAAACCATAATTTTAAAATCACAAAGGATAAACAGTTTTTTTCCTGGATTTTAAACAAAATCAACACACCTTTAGGTAGATTGGGAAAAAAAGGAAGATCTTTAGTACCAGCAGTTGGGAGGCAGGGGCAGGTAGATATCTATGAGTTCAAGACCAGTCTGATCTACATAGCATGTCCTGTACCAGGACAGCCAGAGCTACACAGAGAGGCTCTGTCTCAAAAGTAATAATAATAATAATAGATGCAAATAAAAATAGACCAATAGAGACTCTTACAAACATTTCATCTGTGGCATTTCATGCCAACTATCATTTGAAAAAAAAAGATTTTATTATTCAAATAAACTTTAAAGCACTAACCTATGAGATGAGGTGTCCATTTTCAGTGGTGGTGGGCACCAAACCCTTGGGTCTCCTGTATTTTGGGTAGGTACTTCACCACTGAGCAGCATCCTCACCCCCAACGACCTGTATTTTAACACGAGGAATGCTACTCATACTAAGGTTCTTAAAGCTACACACTGGGCTGAGAAAGCACAGGAGTGGGGTCCTTACAGCCTCTCCCAGTTACTGTCTTACTGTTCCTACAATAGGAGAGGTAAGGAACAGGTGATCAAGTCAAATTTATTGCCACCCATCAATCAAGGCCTTAAATCACATTAGAGTGGCAGTTCATTTAAAATACAAACGCTATCATTCTAATTGTGTCCCCTAAAGTTCTGGGTGTCAGAGACTTGACCCCCACCCACACTGCTGTTAGGGAGCGGTGGAACTTTCGAGAAGTGGTGACTTCTGGGAGGTCACTTGGGATGTTCCTTGAAGGTCATCCTGGGATCTCAGTCCCATCCTCTTTCTCTTCCTCTTTTGCTCTAAGACAGAGGTTTCCTCTATCACGTGTTCATAGTATCATGATCTGCCTTTCACAGCCTCAGAATCAAGACGGTCAACTGATCGTGAGCTAAAACATTAAAAACTGAGAGAATATAGGCCCTTTTTCCTTTTTTAAGTTATTGTCTTAGCTATTTTGTTACCATAAACGAAAGCTCAAAAAGACACATACATGCAAGCAACACGTACACCTGTGTAAATAAATACATACCATAGAAAGTACACTAAAAACCAATTCTTTGTCATCAAAGCAGTTAGGACCTTACCATCCACGGGTGGTTTAGAAGGCTGAGACGCAGCTCATGAGCTAAATAAAAACAGGGCATTCTTTTTACATCCGCTTGAGAAGTACAAGATAAAACCAGCAGTGGTCTTCCTGAAGATCCAAAAGCTGGATCTGTCATGGCCATAATACGAGAAAATTCATCTTGCCATTCATGTCCTAAGGAATTTAAGTTAAAATATGCAATTTGCATTACTCTAAAAATAATTATACTTAAAAATAACACACAAAGGAATTAAATTTTGAGCCGGGCGATGGTGGCGCACGCCTTTAATCCCAGCACTCGGGAGGCAGAGGCAGGCGGATCTCCGTGAGTTCGAGACCAGCCTGGTCTACAGAGCTAGTGCCAGGACAGGCTCCAAAGCCACAGAGAAACCCTGTCTCGAAAAACAAAAAAAAAAAAAAAAAAAAAGGAATTAAATTTTTTACCAGGATTTAAACATAATAAGCTGTCTTTATTTCTGAAATTTATTTATTGTTCTGCCAAAAAATTATATTAAATTGTCTTTCAAATTAGATAGAAATTTTGATAATGCCATAAAGAAATACCACAACATGTGGTAAACAAAATCCCAGGCCATTCTCCTATATCAGCCTGCCAAGAATCTTAGACTATAGATACAAGCCACTGTTTCTTTTTCTGCCTAAGAACTTTCAGATTTAACGCTAGGCATTTTATTTAGAAAAGCAGTTAGACACGGAAATAATGAGGACAGACTCTTAGAAGCAGGCATGTTCCTTTGACTGTTGGATCATTAACATATTGGTTAGAGTCAAACTAGTCCGTCGCTGGTGGATTTGCCCTCTATTGCTGTAGTTAGTGTCAACACAGAGGATTCAAATGCTCTGCAGTTAGGTATGATAGGTATGATACACTTGTAAACTCGCAATCAAGAGAATGAGGCAGAGTAAATGTCATAAGTTCAAGGCCAGCCCAGGCAACATAGTGATGTCCAGGCTCACATTTTACACACCAGCTTCGGTCTTAGGAGGGGATACCCCTGAGCATGAACAGTGGAAGTGTTCTTGGTGACTACAGAATTCTGCCCTGTACTGGTAGAAAGGTCTTCTATGAAAACATCCTTCCCTCCACAGGATCAGAAAACAAAAGAATACTTGCTTCAAACTCAATTCCTACCTCTGTGCTCAGGCGAAAAGCATTTGTTTCTACACTTCTCTCAGGAGCAGTCCGTTGCCGGAAAAGCGGCAGGAGTAATTTCTCATCCTATCACTGTTGGTAGAAAGCTATGGCTTCATTTGAGAAACAGATATAGAAAATAGGGCTCCTCTCACCGGAATAGCAGCAGATCAAGACATGCCTCTTTCATGAAAGACCAGAGATCTCCTATCCTACCACTAAGCTCGTAATGAAAATCTAGCTAAGCTTTGTGGGAAAAAATTCAGTAAGTAGGTATAGATTATTTTTGTATTCTATGTTTTCATTTATTTGTTATTATCCATCATGGCTTGATGTGGGATGCCCCTCTCTGTATTTTGTGATTACGTTGTATTACCATTGGTTAGTAAAGAAGCTGTTTTGGCCTATGGCAGGAAGGGTATTGCTAGAATGGGAATCCTAGCAGGGAGACAGGGAGAGAAAGTGGAGTCGGGAGATGCCAGCAGTCGCTGGAGGAGTAAGATGCCAGAGCATTACCGGTGAGCCACAGAACATGAGGCGATACACAGACTATTAGAAATGAGTTAATTTATATATAAGAGCCAGTCAGTAAGAAGCCTGAGCCATTGGCCAGCCAATTACAGTTAATAGCAAGCCTCTGAGTGATTGGACTGGTGGGCGGGAGAGGAACGATCCAGCGGCACCAGACAGGACAGGGAAAAGACCTCCAGCTACAATGCTTGGGACTGAGTCTGAGGCCTCAGTTATGAACCAGGTTAACGCCCTAGTTTTTCTACTATTTTACAGGGGCCTATTGGAACCAATCTGGAAGACGAGATGAAAGCATGTTCTCTTTCAGTTGTAGCTCTCATCATATCTCCACCCGCAAATACAGCGTCTGACCTCTACAACTACTGTTTGATGAACAAATCGATCTACCTTTCATTCTGCTTCTAATTTTTTCCTTTACAGATAGCCCTATAATAACAGATAATAATTCATTATTTTCTTATGAATAATTTATCCAGGATTTCTAAGTATAATTGCCTCCAGGACTTAACAGATTGGCAGAGAAATAAATTCATTGTAAATTAAAATCAACACATTAAATAACTATGACATATGTATCATGTGCATATTATATACAAGCAATATGCATACTAAATCATTTGTTATATAGTTATATTTTATCTTGTACACAGAGGATTGAGAGGAAGTTATAATACTGGTTCAAGATTCAATGACAGCAATGTCATACCAAAACAATGTCAGTGACAGTTATTCAGAGTATATGGAGAGTGTTATGAACCCACTGATTTAATTAACTTAACTTTAATCTACACAACTAACATCTTATCCACGCACCTCTCTACAGTATGGGTAAGAATAAACCAATACATTTTCAGTTATCTATGTAGATTATTTGAATATATCAGAGGCAGAGAAAGCATCAGTAATTTAAAATGTCGGCTATATAAAAACATGCCTATAGAATCAAGCTTAGGCACATATCAGGACTCTGTGGTGCTTACAGAAACCAGACGTCCTAGATAATGGGCAAAATCTATGGATCACAGTGTGGCATGCTAGGAAGTTCCCATGTAGTCCTAACACTAACACTAGTGACAGTAATGGCTGGAAAATCACAGTGGTAAAATCTAACTATTGTAGTATTGTGGTGCTGTAAAAATATGATTATTTATTTTGCAAAGGATGCTGTACCTTGGAGAAGAAATATAAGAATGCTTACGCTTATGAGCTTCGCCGTTTGCCACATAGATGAAGCCATCTACAACTTCACACACCTTCTGAATCTGTGGAATCACACTGTAGCGGCTTCCTTGCTCATTGCCTTCGCTCTGTAGGCTGAACATCTTGTTAACGGTGCTTGTGTGCTCTTCCCTTGCCCTGTCTCTCTCCTTCCTGCAAGAAGAAAATACACACGTATATAAGAAAAAAAAAGATATGAAACAGGTTCCATCCCTCTGTAATAGATGTTCCACTGCTGATGTTTCAGGCAGCCTTACCTGGTAGTCGAATATAATATCAGGATATTGAATTTATGTTGATTGCTCAACTGAAAATTGACTCCAGATCCAATACCTACATGAGAAAGTTGGTTATACAAACAAGCCAACAATAAAAAAAAACACTTAAAAATTCCGCTGAAAGATTATGCAGTGAAATCAAAAGGGGAAAAGGGGAAAAAAGTAGCAAGTTACACGCAACTTTGGAATAAACTGCCGTGCTTGTGATGAGGAGAGCAAGTTGTATGAACTTTGGCAGCACAGATACAGAGCGCACTGGGCACATCCTGACTTTCCAGTCTCCAGGCAACGTGACAAGCATCACAGGAGCAGCTGGGGCATGGCAACTACTTCTATTTATCCTCAACAAGACTCCTATTCATAGTTTACATGTCCACTGGTCTTATGACCCATGTATATATTCAGTGGAGACCCCTTCTTCCCGTCTGAGAAACTGTTCACAAACATGAGGTGCAGCATTAGAAATGCCGTAGAAACTGAGCCAGAACAGCAGATGCTGAGTGCGGATTAGAATCCTAAACTTGCCATGAAAATGAAATAACCTCTACTTCCTAGGGATTCCTGGGAGGATTGCCGGAGGTCTAATATTTGATACCCTTAGATTGCTAACTATTGGCTTCTTACTGCTGTGTGTCTGAGTCACCCAACAGTTGCTACCCCTTTCTTAGCCTCTTCTGTTTTGCTGATGGTGGGAGTTTTGTTAATGATCAATGTATTTTTTGGCCCCCTGGAAACATCCTGGTTCCATAGCTCTAGTTCTTGCTAGAAACTTGTCCCCTCCCATCTGTCCACTTCTCTCTGTGGCCATTCTGCTTTTAGTAAAAATTAACAACCTGTAATTTCTTTCAACCAGTCCTCTAAATTCTCTTGCTTTACCTAGCCTTTCCTGCAACAGTAGATACCTTACTTAATACTTACTTACATATCTAAGGGTTTCTCTTCTCTACAAAGCCATGGGCCTCCAGATATACAAACAAATTGACATCGTCTGTTACCACTTAACTCATTAGAAACTACTCCAGTCTTTCATCCCCAAACTTTTGACTTCTACTTAAATAAGGTATGATACATCACACCGTTCTAAGCATACCTTGTATAGATTTGGACTTGTGGGTACTATTTAAAATATAACTAGCCCAAGTCACATGATCCTCTAGCCTCCAGCCATGTTATCCCACAAAAAGTACATGGAAAGAGAACCAGACATTTCTGCTTTGTTTTTTACCAGTTTAATTTCCATAAATTATCCATTCAACACACCTAACTGGAGTCCAACTTATTATGCAACCCATATTCTTCTCTGAGCCCACAGACTGGCATTTTCAAGCAATCACTTAAGTCACTGTAAAGAGAATGTAATTGCCATTTCACAACTGTCGACTTTCCTCATATCTTCTGGCTTTTTCTGAAGGGTTGCCTGAAACTGGCCTGCCTTAGGTAATACTTGTCTTGCCATGGACTCCCAGTTATCAAAATCGCTTATTTCCTCATATCCTATAGTGAAGAAGTGGGCTGATCTCTCTACTTCCAATGACTTGTCAAACCATTACTCAAGAATCATCTGGAATAGTTCCATCTGAAAAAGACACCATTCAGCTGGAGAGCAGTCTCTTCGTCTGCAACTTTGCCATCATGGTCATCCCTTCCCCTTTTGCAGACTTCAGCTTGCGGCTCACTGTCTTTCTCTCTAGCCTCCTAAACTTCCAGGTCCATGGGAACCTAAATCGTCTATGGCTCCAAAATGTTAATTTCTTCAGATCTTGCTCTGATCTGGACATATAATCTGTAAGCCATTCATTTAATGTGTGTGTGGGTGTTAGTTACTTTTCCACTGCTATGACAAAACACCATGATTAAGGTAACTTATAAAAGAAAGCACTTAAAGCCAGGCGGTGGTGGCACACACCTTTAATCCCAGCGCTCAGAAGGCAGAGGCAGGTGGATCTCTGTGAGTTCGAGGCCAGCCTGGTCTATAAGAGCTAGTTCCAGGACAGGCTCCAAAGCTACAAAGAAACCCTGTCTTGAAAAACCACACAAAATAAAATAAAATAAAATAAAATGAAAGCACTTAATTTGGGGGGGGGGCTCATGATTCCAAACGGTTAGAGTCTGTGCCCATCATTGAAATGATCATAGCAACAGGCAGGCTGTCACAGTGGCTGAGAGCTGACACCTGGGCCACAAGCACAAGGCAGAGGGAGGGCTAACTAGCAATGGTGTGAGAGCTTTTGAGACCTCAAAACCCTCCCTTAGTGATGCACCTCCTCAAAAAAGAGCCACATCTCTTAATTCTTACTGAACAATTCTACCAACTGGGGGCCAAGCATTCAAATATATGAGCCTATGGAGGCCATGCTCACTCAAACCACCATAGTGTGGAACCTATGATATGTCTGTCATTACAGATACAAGTAAAAATAAAATTGACAAGATCTCTAGCTCCTGCCACCAAAAGATATAGCCACTCACAAAACCAAAAAAAAAGAAAAAAAAAGAAAAGAAGAAAGAAAGAGAGAGAGAGAGAGAGAGAGAAAGAAAGAAAGAAAGAAAGAAAGAAAGAAAGAAAGAAAGAAAGGAAGAAAGAAAGAAAGAAGCGATAGCCACAAAAGTCATTCTCCTCTGGTTATTCCTTACCCCAGTGAATGACTTTAAACCCAACAGAAACCACAAGACAAAAATTTGCTATCTTTACTACATAATCATTAAGAACAGTTAATTGCATCAGTTTTCATCCTCAATTCATTCTTTTTATCCAATGACTCCTTTCATATATATTTTAATCGTAGATTATAGCAGTTTCTTTAGGCCCTTCTAACCAGTTTTTTACTCAGGAGTCAGAGTAAACTTTTCTAAAGTGAAATTTTGATCCCCTCAGCCCTCTGATGAGATTTCTTCAGCAGCTCCCACATACTGATGCTTCCCAAGTGGTGATGGTGGTGGTTACCTAGCTCTGGTAGATTTATAGACACTTCAGAACTTTGTGCTTTTAGCCTTCTTGTTTTGAGAGAACAATGCAGTTAATACTGATGAGTCTTCGCTGGCATCTTCAATGCGCAGCCTTCTTAGATTCTTATGTTTCTGTTCAGAAACTAACTGATCATATTCTAATTACCTCAGGACTTGTGTCTGTAGCCTCACTGAGAGCCACTGTCTCCATAGAGGACCAAGATTTGTTCTAAATCTCTGAATCTATGCCATATAGTGAGTAGAACACACCTTACATTGCATTGCTATTCCTGTTTATGACACTTCCTCACCTTACCAAACGTCACATACTGTTTTGTGAGCTGTTTTCTGTTTATTTGTTTGTTTTTTGTTGTTTTTTTTTTCTGTAGAGGGGAGGTAATAATACAGTTCTTTTTTTAAAAATACCAACATGTATAAAAAATAATTGGCAAACAGATGTTCAATGGCTTTTCTTGACAAATTGTTCTTATTCTAAACACGATATGGACTGTTAAAACACAATAACTTATTTTAACATATTAAATTCTAAGTTATACAAATTTGAGAAATTAAGAAAAATATACTTCTTATATTAATTTTTTCCAGTGGGACCAGGGAGTTCGTTCACCAATTTCTAGATTTAATTACAATTTCTAGATAAAATTACACAATTTAATTTTAGAAATGCCCATCCTTTAGCACTAACATCAAGCTCCTAGTGCTAGAATTACTACGTATTATACATTAACATGAAAATTAAATTACCATCAATCTGTCTATGAGGCAAACCAGCAGTTGGGCAGAGTTCCTCAGAAGACATCAAACTCAACACCAAGGATGTGTTCAGTTCTTCCAAACCTGGTCCAAACATAGCAAATCGGGGTTCGTTCTGAATGATCAATGAGTGTAAGAAGGAGGTAACAGCTCCGTACACAGGACGGCTGGCTTTCGAGGCTCTTCTCGTATACGGACAGCACATTTTATAGCTGCAGAAAACCCTCAGAATTAGAAAATAAAACAGAAAACATTTAACGTTTGTTCATTTGAGAATATATCACTTACTGAGTCCTTGCAAGGCATAGTAATATCGAGATTATAGTTTCAACCCTCCCAGACAGTTGGTGAGAGGCACCATTGTAACACGTATGCAGAGTGCCATGGCAGGGAAGAACACGAAGAGCCAGAGAGTGGAAGGAATCGCGAAGCTACAGAACCGTCCCCGAGGAAGATGTTCTTTACCTTCTTATCTTTTATTTAGTTTCCTTCATGAAACACCAGTATTTGTTGGAATAGCTGAAACTAATTATATAGAAGAGTAACTGTTCTCTTCCTGAGAAAGATTTTTATCCCTTATCCTATAGTATGTGGCGATGTTTGAACAACTTTATCTTCACATCTGGGGAAGAGGAGGCTGTGCTACCAGCATCAACTTAGCAGAACCGGAGATGATGCCATACATCCTACAGTTTCCAGGATCGTCCCCTACAACTGCTCCAAATGTCACTAATGTTAAGATCGAGAATCCCCACCATAAGGATGGACTACAGATATTTAGGGTTAAATCCCAGAAATTTTAAAATATCACTAAAGCTACTAATATCAAACTTCTTAAACACGCCTTTCATAGTCTCCAAAGCAACAGTTCATTCGAAACACTAAATAAATACACAAAGGCACCCAAATATACCTCATTGAAAATTAGCAAAATAAAAACCAAGTGAAAGAAGCTATGACGGGGAGAACAACAACGCCAGCTTGGTCCTGGGGCAGCTGAGGAGAGAGCGCCTGAGGAGAGGGCACCTGAAATGACCCTATCCTATAGCCACACTGATAAATTTCTTGCATATCACCATAGAACCTTCATCTGGCGATGGATGGAGATATAGACAGAGACCCACATTGGTGCACCGGACTGAGCTCCCAAAGTCCAAATGAGGAGCAGAAGGAGAGAGAACATGAGCAAGGAAGTCAGGACCGCGAGGGGTGCGCCCACCCACTGAGATGGCAGGGTTGATCTAATGGGACTCACCAAGGCCAACTGGTCTGGGACTGATGTAGCTTGTGATCAAACCGGACTCTCTGAACGTGGCTGACAATGAGGGCTGACTGAGAAGCCAAGAACAATGGCACTGGGTTTTGACCCTACTGCATGTACTGGCTTTGTGGGAGCCTAGTCTGTTTGGATGCACACCTTCCTAGACCTTGATGGACCGGGGAGGACCTTGGACTTCCCACAGGGCAGGGAACCCTGACTGCTCTTTGGACTGGAGAGGGAGGGGAAGGGGAGTTGGGGGAAGGGGGAGGGAAATGGGAGGTGGGGAGGAGGTGGAAATTTTTAATTAAAAAAAAAAAAGAAGCTATGACAGCTTAGCAGGTAAATGTCACCAAGACTGATTGATGTTCTGAGTTTGATCCCAGGGACCCATTTGGTGGAAAGAGAGGATGGACTCCCAAAGGTCATCCTCTGACCTCCATAAGTACCATAGCATGTGTGTGTCTACCCACACAAACACAAAATAAATAATAGTAATTTTTAAAAAAAAGTCTCAAAAATGGTTTTCTTCCCAGTCAAAAAGAATCGTTTTCTGATCTCTGGACATTCCTTCTCTGGTTATGGCATTTATAAGCATTTATAATTTAACAAAACATATTAGAAAGATTATGAGAATTTTAAGAAATGTCTTCTTTCTTGCCAACTGTATCACATATAATTAATTGAAAACTGGTTGGTCACCACAGGGAAATAACACAAAAGGTTAAAGCTGTAAGAGTCTTATGAAAAAAAGTCAATTAACTCAAACCATAACTTTTTTAAAGGGGCCATTTAGACAAATTCCACGCAACAAATTAGTAGCAGTGTTAGAACTAGCGTGGACTACTTTAGCGTGACATTTACTATCTCCTGCTAATTCACAGAAATTGATACTTACACCTTCATGTAATCAAAACAGGTGCTGTTGGTGACCTCAGATATAGGCTTTTTTAAGATCTCTAGGTCCGGAAGTGACTTCCAATCAACAGAAGACCAAGAAGGGAGGTCCCGCAAGAGAAAATATCTCCAGAGGATTGGGTCTCTCACGGTTTCATTCCAGTAACGGTCTGTACTTCCCAGCTGGCACAGATCATGGGGTGAAAGAAAGGACAAGATATACAGCTGCACATCGATCTGAAACAGAGGCGGAGAAAAGGCATTGCTCTCTTAAAGGGCAACCGAGCGAGCCCTTCTTCCTACTACCAAGTCTTGTCTTCCTTCACCCAGAGAAAAATCAAAACTCAACGTTTTCATTCCTAACACCTATGAAACATTCTTGAAAGTTCAAGGCCTCATCTTTCAAGCAAAATAACAACTTCCATATTTTTCTTTCTGTGGGTATTTTGATAGACCAGTTAATAATTTCTCTTTCAGAATAAACGTGTTATCGAGTGGAAATTTTTCTGGATTTTTAACCACTAGATCAAAACGAAAGTGTGCGACTCTGTCGTCTGAATTTCTCTATTTAGCCTATTAATCCGTTTCAAAGGACACAGGTAAGAAGCCTGGGGAGTTTACATTTGGAATGAATGTCAGTGGGACGCACCAATAATCCAACTGAGATAAAAAGAATTGTAATAATCAACAATGTATGATCTCTTCATTTTCTGATCTTTCTCTGAAACTTTTAAATAATATGCACTCTTCCTGTGATCTGTTCTAACCTGGGGCCCTTGTAACTTCGTTTATTTTTCAATTACGTAGTAGTTTTGTCATTTAAGGCATGTGAAACTTGCTTGCTCCAGGCGATAACTGGGCTACACTGAGCCTGGGACTGAAGATAGGATGTGCAGAACAGAGACAGTGGGATGCTTTCCCAAGCTAACCCGTTTCCCTAAAACAGATTTCCACATATCCTATTTGGACCGCTGACAATTTGTGGGCGATCTCGCTGGTCACTAGTGTGAGACGTGGGGCGACCCTGGCTGGCTGGGGCACACCAAGAGTCAACGTCCAGGCGACTCTGGGCACTGGCGTCCCAGGCGAGCACACACCCGGAAGTGGTGGCCTGCGCTCCGGGCTGGCTTACCGGCAGCCGCGTCAGCGCGCTGGTCTCCTCCTCCGCCTCCTCCCGGGAGACCGTCCGCGCCGCCCGCTCCTTGCCCACCGAGTGCCAGAAGGTCCTCCAGCCGCTCAGGATGGCGGCCTCCAGGCGGCCCCAGTCGCTGGCGGGCGGCGGCGAGCCGGCTCCGCGGGGCTCGCTTCCAGCCATGGCCGCCGCCGTCGCCGCGCGACGAAGCCCGGCGCACCCGCTTGCTGGCTGCTCGGCCTCCGTCTCCGCCTCCGCCCGCCGCGCTGGGCCGCCCGGGGCTGACCTACTGGGCGCGGTTCCGGGCAGAGGTCCGCGCCAACCATCGCTCACCCACTCGTGCTGGTCACCACAGCCAGCTCTTTCACCACTGCTGGGAACCCTCTGACCCCGGAATAACTGTCCCCTCTGCCCTACCTCCTTACCCTAGACTATACTATATCGCGCGCACACACACACACCCCGACTGCCCCCTCTGCCCTACCTCCTTACCCCAGACGATACTATATCACACACACACACACACACAGGCACGCACACACTTGATCCTTGGCTCCTGGCTCCATTCACTGCAAGGATCTAGGAGCGATGGCTTGTTCAATAGCTACCCTTTTCTGTGATATTGGTCCTAATTAAACTTGCTTCTCCTGAAGAATTAGGTATAAGTGGGTTGTGTGTGTGTGCATCTGTGTTTTGGAATCACCAATTTACCAATTTCTTGGAGCTTCGAATAAACTGAACCTACGGAGACTATCAGGAGGCTGCGGAACTAAAGTTCTCCAAGAAGCCATATCTGTATTAAAGATATTGCAGGATAGGTGACATTGACTGACTAGCACGTCCTGCTTTGGAGAAAGAGTCTTGCGGCTGGAGAGCCCAAACTGCCTCAGTAATGTCCTTTAATAGCGCCTTACCGTCAATCACTGTATTCGTTCTAACCTTCTCAGGAATATTAGGTAAAGCTTGTGGTTAGGAAGCTAGGAAACATCTAGCCTTTACAAATGTTTTAAGATTTTAATTTAACTATAGGTGTGTGAGTATTTGCATGAATCGCAAGTTCCCGCAGAGGCCAGACATCCCCTGGGTCTGGAACTTGCAGCTGTGTGCCACCCACTCAGGTCCATGTAAGAACAGTACATGCTCTTAATTGCTGAGCCGTCATCTCTCCAGCCGCCCTTTACCTATCTTAAAGTAAATTATGTAACATCTGAAATCCAATTTTACCCAATTTTATCTAGGATGGGTACAATAATGCTGCCATCAATGTAGGTGGTAAATGTATTTCATATATGGCCTTTGTTCTTGTGAACTGCTTCTGCAACTCAGTGTGCCATTCAAAGTAACTTGAGTAGTCTCTGGCCGTGGCCACTCATATTTTGTTTACGTAAGAGTTGTTATTTTGCCTCAAAAAAGCCCAAACATTAGGTACCTTATACCAAAATGGCGTCTTAGGTTCACTACAAAAATTTAAGTACACTAAAAATTTGTTCAATGATCGATGGAAGAAAACAGAATGTGGTATTCTTAAAAGCAACAAGTGAATTTTTAGTCTTTCGGAAGTCATGTCTATTCTGCTCACTTTAATCTTAATTTAAAAGACATTTTAAAAAAGGAGGTAGACTATATTATATAGCACTGGATATGGTTCCTTTAGGAAAGACACTTGGTAGCATGTATCAGATATTTTCAAATAGACTATCTCAAGCTAAAATTGTCAGCCTGTAAGTGCTTACCACTCCACGATACCCAGCTATATTGTTTTTGTGAAAACATTTAAATTTTATTATCTGCATATACAATTGGCTTAACCTCTGTTGTCAAAATGTTCTCTTATATCTAATCCATAGGATATTTAAAAATTAATCCCATTTTTTAATCTTCAAAGTAGAAGGCGAGATCCACATCTTTATAAACATTAAACCTTTAAAGAACATACTAGGCTACCAGAAAGTCGCCAGTATATGAATATTAAAACAGTGGAGAATAATATATGGCGCATGGAACAGTACTTACTGCTCAGTAGTAGACCATAAATGCTTTGCAATAGGGCCCATCATTCAGAAAGTAGTAGCTGAGGATCTGAATGACAAGAAGTTCAACAAAGCTTGACGACCGGGCAATTGGGGCTCTGTGAGAATCTAAATTTAAAATGATTTTTCCACACGCCATTGCTAGCAAATAGGTCAAGCACAGGCTTGGGTCATCAGGAAAACGTAAGAATTACTTATATGGCATTTCTCCTCCCTACGTTGTTTTATTTTCATAGAAAGAAAATTAGCATGAGAAACTAAGTCAGTTAAGCATGAAGAAACAAAATGCCACTGTTCTTGTATTACAAGGAAATGTGAATTATCTATTGAATGAGGAGAATTCAGATTCCTTATAGAAATATTTGTGGAAAGTAAGATTAATGGGCTGGAGAGGTGGATCAGTGGTTAGGAGTTCCTCCTGCTCTTGCAGAGGAGGGAAGTTGGAATCCTAACACCCACCCCAGTTGACTCACATCACCTGAAACTCTAGCTCCAGAGATCTGAAGCCTCTAGCCTCTGCGGGCCATGAGCACAGAAATGCACCATTTCAACATACTTAAAAATAATAAAAAGAAATAGAATATTAAAAGCCAAAAAGACTTAGTAATTTACATAGGATTACAGTTACGATGGCAGGGTTGTGAATTAATTCAGGCCTTCTAGCTCCAGAACTCACTATCTGAATCATTATGCTAACCTGTCTGAAAGTTATTAGGACCAGAAAAAAAGCATTCAAAAATCAGGACAGCAAACTGAGAGGAAATGTTTTTATTCTGATGCAAGAATAAAATATAAAAGAAAACAAGAAACAAGTACAGGAATATGGTTTTATTTTATTAATCATGTTCCAAAACACTGTAGTTGGAAAATGTCACTAAAAATCGCAAAAACAAAACTACTCAACACCAGCATAAGTATATAATGAATACTTTTAATTCCGGCTATATTAAGCTTATGTTAATATAATACTTCCATAATGTATTTCATTTTATATTAAAAGAACTCAGGGTAAGTAATACTAGAGAACTATGGAATCCTGGATTCTGTGGCAGATGGGTTATCCTCATAGTTACAAAAGGGACCCTAAAAGACGGACCAAGGATACAAGCAATCTAAAGCAGACCATGTTAGTAGCAGTGGGTTTTTAAAGTGTCATGAATAAGTCAGACAACAACTTCACACACAGCTCATACATTTTAATGAAGATCAGAGCACTGACAGCAAGGCTGTAACACCAGGAATGTAACTTTATGGTGGGCTTTTAGTCATGACTCTTACCTCACTCTACTGTATGCAAAAGACAAGGGAATGCCATATGTGCCTTAACACCAAATAATACACAGTAGCCAAAAAGCCTATAATCATAGTAAGAGACAGTCTCTTAGTCTTTTTGTTGTTGTTGTTTTTGTTTTATGACACAGGGTTTCTGTGTAATAGCCCTAGCTGTCCTGAAACTTCCTTTGTAGACCAGGCTGGCCTCAAACTCACATTCAAGTCTCACAGCCCGATCCATATCAGAAAATTCATACATTTAAGGATAAACATTTAAGGATTATGGGAAATCCTATAGCATTTTACATCTTAGTAAATAGCAGCGAATTCCAACTGAAGATAAAGTGATTTTTCACTAGAAGTAGGAAAACAAAACCCACTGAACATCAGCCTGAATAATGTATACATTAATTGTGACATATTAAGTACCTCTTAATGTAATATTCCCAAACTATGTTACCTCATATTGTGTTCTAAATATATATGGAAGTGATATTAAAGAAACTACAGAGTTTGGCTTCTGTGGACAGAAGACAGAAAAGGGAACTGGAAGGTAGTAGGAAAACTACTTGGAATGAATAAAATGCCAAGGCCTTTAGGCAGTAGACATTAGGAATGCCACTGATAAGAAGTCCATTCAAGGCAGCAAAAGTGAGAAGGTTGTAGGTGGTGAATTCCCTAAGAAAATCTTTGAGGGTACTGAATATACAAGGTATCTAAATAACAGGATGGAAATTGAAGACAGGTGCTTAGATGTGCCGTTCTCATCACTCTAAATAAAACAGCACCCATCTCCAAGTCACACTTGTCCCTTACACCCTACCTCATGCTCAAAAGCATTATCCCTTGACATGCTGTATATTCCTCATCCACTGATGGATGATAGTGTTTCCAAAGCTATATCCTGGGTGCCTAGGACAAGACATGGCATGTAGTAGGCATACAACAGTTGTTGAAAAAATCGATTGGAGGCTTAACTATTGTCCATATGTGGAATATTTGGTATTTTGAGGTTACTTCATTCTACATAAAAGAATTTACTCATCAAGATTAAATGAATACAAAATGTGTTGTTCATTTATAATACCACAGTAAAAAGTACTGCAACTATTATGGTCTACAAATTGTTCTCCAATTGTTTGGGGGAGGGAGTAAATTATACAAAAGCACCCAAGAATACCCTCATAATTGTACCAACCAGTGAGTCCACAAAGGTAATAAAGGCAAAACATGAAGTTCTCAGCTTCTGAAGACAAGGTCTTGTTTTCTCAGGTTTAGTATCCAAGTAACACTTTACTCTTCTGAGGAATATATCTTCCTTTTTGATGTATGAACCACTGGTATAGAGGGCATGGCAGTTTGGAATGCAATAGCAGCAACGCTTTTGTGCAAAATTTGGCATTTCAAATCATGCCTCATTAATTCAAAAAACATAACTACCTACCATGCAATGAACAGTATGTGCAAAGGTAAAATTTTAAGATATGAAGTTCATTTAATAGTAAGAAAAATAATTACAACACATTGTGCTGTGGTAATGTGGGAAAAGGAAGACAGAAAATATGAAGGAATATATAATCTCTACTGGAAAGGGCTGAAAACAGCCTCTGGACACACAGTATTACTAAAAGTACATCATACAAGTAAATTATTTACCTGACCACAAAGAAAGGCCTGGAAATAATGGTGTCTACACATAAGTGCATTGGGAAAGTACTGGAAGAACTTGATTAATTGACTATGACCCACTGAAAAAGTCTGTGCTTCTAAAAATCACATTAAAGATTATTTAGTTTTAGAAAGCCAAAGTATTTTCATAATAAAACTTGCTAAAATGCTAGGAAACATAAAAATCTTGGTTTTATAAAGATATGCCAGGAGTTGAAGCAGGGATGGAGGAATCTCCCCTAGCTACCATTGCCTATTCAGAATTTTGTTGATCAAAAAGGAGCCTGTAATTTTGATGTTTGAAAAAATATTGATCTAGAAGACAAATCAGAGTGAGTATAGAAATGAGGCTGGGAAGGTAAACCTTCTGTTTCTCTTCCTGAAAAACTACACAAAACTGCGGGGCGGGGGAGTGAAGCAGAGAAGATTTTCCATTAAAAATGAAGTATCTGTCTTTTGCTCATACTGAACTTAAAATTACTGTGCAGTCAGTATTTTTTTTTTTTTTTTTTTTTTTTTTTGTGCAGTCAGTATTTAATAGGCAGCTGGAAATAAACTTCAGAGGAAGCAAGGAGACTGGGGCTCAAGTTCCTGGCAGGGAAATCAGCCTGATATTATGGGCACTGCAAGCCAAATGGCTGTGAAAGATATTCTTTAGCATGAGCATTTGGAGTAAAAAGCAAGAAAGAGAAAGAACAGAACTTACATGAAGACAGAAAGTGAGAAACAACAAGAAAACAAGGAACTAGAAAAGATTGGTCATCAAGAAATAGGCAACCTATTTTTCTTTAAAACGGAAAAATGAGTAAATATAAGTTGACTCCTTCAGAATTTAAAAGAACAGCAGCAGAGGTGACTAATGAATTTGACTCTGCCACAGGGGGAAAGGACAGGCACCTTCGTTGCTTACAGTCAACATTCTTCTAAGTGAAGTCACGCATGTAGAAACACACTCTGAAAGACTACATGCCTTCCACATAACTAAGTCTCCTAAGAATAAACAGCTGATGGAAGATTAATACAGTGTTGAAAGCCAGCTAAGGACAACACTACCAGATAAGACAGAAGAGGAAATAATGGGGGAGAGTAGTTCAGATGACGTCCCATGAAATGCAGGGCAAAGAAAGCATGAAAGAGGCTCACTAAGAGTCAGAAGAACAGTCAAGAAAGAAACCTATAAAAAGGATAAAAGCTGTAGAATAAAAATAGAGAGAAACCAATAAAAACAAGGAAATTTTAAAAGCTGAAAAGCGGAGAATTGTTATCAGTTACTGAAACTTAAGATTTTAGAAAGAGAAACTGAGTATGGCTAATGCACAAGGTGCAGGAGCAGAAATTACTGGAATGTAAAGATGTCATTGGGACAGAAGTCTAGTGCATCAGAAGGGATCATCATACAGACTATCCCAAGACAACAGGAGTTGAGGTAGGCAGAAAGATGGTGAGCAAGACTGCAAACTAGGCTCTCTGGCCATCAGCATTTCAATCCTAATAAAGGCAAAACATATGTAAAGTTCATTATATGCAAAGATGTGCCCTAAAAGTTCATTATATATGTAAAGTTCATTATATGCAAAGATGTGCCCTAAAAGCATCTGAACTGACAGAATCATTTACACTGATTTTTATCTTCATTATTGGAGAAACCATGCAGTTTTTGTTTTAAACAAAATAAGAAAAATAATTTATAAAGTAAGTCAATAATTTAAGTATTATTAGTAATACATGGCAAAATAAATACAATGGTTCATTCCTAAAATCTTTTGCCATTTAGATTACTGGAAATGAAATCTAAATATAGTTATAATCTTTTAATTGCCTACATTTATACTGATCTATATATCTGAAACAAGAAGAAAACTGATTTTCATCTTTGAACTATGCAGATTTGTGTTACATATATTTTACCACAGTGAAATATAACTGGGGTCCTCCTCACCAGTGGCAGGATTGTATGCAGTTCAGTTCAGTTAGAATAACATATATGCTATTTTGGAAGGGAGAGACTACTTTTTCACAGATTTAGGACTATAAATGAATGGTGACAGCATTAGAGCAGGGCAGCCATGCTGGGCATCTTTACGTAGTGTACGTACTCAGGGTCAGTGTAGACACCGCCTCTCCTCAAGCCGTCTTTTCCATCTCATCTTCCTCCAAGCAGTGAGGACAGACGAGCACCTAGCTACAGCGCTGCTGAAAGAAGCTCAGGATCTGCTTAGCATTCGCCGTGTTCCACTCCTGCTCCTTCAGAGGTCCTTCACACACCGACACATACTTCTTCAAAATTTTTTCTCCTACTTCTCGGAAATCTAAAGGCTCTTTGTGTGTGGTGCAACTTGCTCCAAAAACATCAGTATCAACTTCATTATTTTCTGACTGTAGATCTGTGCAATGCTTTAATCCCCAGTAGCACATTTCTCCGCTGTACATCATAGCCAGCACATGAATATCACTAAATATTCCTGGGAAGGTCATTTATTTTGAAATTAGAGTTAAGTTTATAGAAAGCAACATCGGCTATTGAAAAACTCATAATGTCTTTAGCAATAAACATTTTTCATACCATTTACTAATGCTCAGAAAAGCCCACTATCACTAGCACAATTCTAACTAAATCAATGCTGTGTCTTTTACCTAGATAAGAAATTCCCCAAACAAAGCAGACTATTGTCAAATAATATTTTAAATTACAATTTAGTTATTCTTAACATTTCTATGAGGCCTCTTTAGGACCTTCTTTGAGATTTAATTTCACTGGTGGAACCCTTCTAGATTATAGCCTAAATGCTGTACATAACTTCAGAACTCTCATAAATTTTCTGAACTGCATCCATGAACACAAAGTTTATTTTGAAGGATGCTCTAGGATCAGTGATATAACTATATTGTTATAATACATCTTATATTTGAGTACACTAACAGTCTTATGTATTATCATGCGTTTGGTAGGCCATACAATTCTAAACTATCACAGATGCTAAAGATATCCAAGTTGCTTTGTATCACTAGGAAAAAAGAATACCAGGACAATTTCCATCAAAAGATGACTATTCCTTTAACATTATTCCCAGAAATTTTGCAATTAAATATTTAAGGTCAAAGCATGTTAATTTGTTATAAAGACAAATTAGACTTAGAATAAGAGATCTAGGTAGACCAGGAGTAGTAGGAACACACATTCTATTTTCTATGTGTAAAGCAATTTCTACCTATCAAGTACAATTAGCACACAAAAAGCCCTAAAAGTCTATCTCCTTTAAAGCTTACTTCTAGTATGGTTTTAATAGCCAAATCTAGTTCTTGTCAAAACAAAAGTAACATGATACATTAACTCTTCCAAATTAACTCCAGGTTCTGCATCCTGTTGACCTCCATGGGTACCTACATACATGCACATAAATTCACTCACACATGAATACATGAATAAAAGCAAAACTACACACACACACACACACACACATACACATCTCACATCTTACTATGTAACTCTGACTGTCCTGGAACTCACTATACAGAACAAGCTGATCTTGAACTCACAATTTCTTATGCCTTTGCTTCTTGAGTACTGGGATTTTTATAAAGACTTGTGCCAATACATCTAGCTAAAACTAAACATGTTTTAAGTGTTTTTCTACATTGCATTCATTTTAAATCTCGTATGAAATTTCAATGAAAGTAGTTAGCAAGCTTTCTAAAACCTTAAAAAAAAAAAAAAAGAAAACTTCACTTAGAAATGTTAACAAGAAATCACCTTACCTGTACTCAGTAATTTAGCTGTGTCTAGGTCTTGGAAAGAAACACCTTCATTTAACTGGATAGGGCATCGATAATTTAGCATCTGCAGCAAGTAATTGATCCCATCAACAAGGTACTAAATAAAGAAATCAAATAAATTATAGCATTATGCACAGAACTATAAACAAGTACTTTCTGCCTCATTCTTTACTCAAGGATAAATGGACCGATACAGAAGTACATATAATTACTATGATATTCCAGTGGCATAAAGACTTATCACCCTGAGACTGTTGTAATATAAGTAAACCCTCCCAAATAATGAATATGGAACAAGGAGTAAATATCAACCACAAATACAAGTTGCAGCAATGAAGTTATTAAAAAAATGTTATCAAAGGATGAATGTTGTAAACATGAATTCAAAAAACCTTTAAAAATAAATATGGAGTTTTGTTTGTTTTGCAGTACTTGGTACTTAACCTAGGGCATCATGAATGCTAGACAAGTGTCCTATATTGAACTATATATTGAAATATAGCGAACTATATTTTAGCCTGTTTTATGATTCAGATATAACTAATTTTTTCTACCTAAAAGTATGACTTCCCATTTCCAAGACTATGTAAACTATGGGTACATTTTGACTGAGCTGGAATTCTTAGTGACACAATACTAAGATTCATGTCTTTGGAATAAAAATTGTTAGAACAGACAGTGTCATATTGTTTTAGGAACAGGGTCCTACAGGCTTCTCAGGATTACCTTGCTTACAAAGAGACACACAAAACAAAACTTCTTTCACCAAAGAAAATATTTAGAAATTAACAGCTTTATCTTATATTCAAACAAAAATAAAACTCAAGAACCTGAGAAACACATGTAGTAGTCTCCAAATGCTGTTCTTTCATGTATCATCTTAGTCTTTACAGAAATCCCAAGAACACAGCCTGTGAACCTAAAACATCGGTCTACTAGCCCAGAACCTCTGATTTCACTACTGTTGTTATAAAATGTTCTAAAGTCTGTAAAGCTAACAATCAAGATCATAAATGAAATTGTTTCTTACCTTCTGGAGCAAGTTAGACTTTCTCAGGAGCCACTCCCTTCTCTTAGTCAGAGAGTGACAGTACATGTACAACAGGGCTCCTCGTCTCCAGGAGAGGCATTCCAGTAGCTCATCCCCAAGCAAATCGCACAGCTGAAAAGAAACACAAAAGGCATATCCACAAAAAAGCCATACATTTACAAAATCAAACTTCTAAAGAAAATTAAGCAACTAAAAGCATTCTCATTTCACAGAATGTGTCCAGATTAGGTTACAGAGAAATGCTTATGCTTGAATTAAGTAGAAATATTGTCATCTGTTGGTATATATACAGCAAAATAACTCTTTAATTTCAAGTAGTATTAAAAATTAAGTTGAAATATGATAGTAGAAAATTCCCCTACTATTACTTGGAAAAATGCAAAATCCATTCTCATTAAAAAGATACCCTTTTTAGGAAGACTTTGAGTCAAGATAATATCTATTTTTCTAGAAAGAAATAGGAACTACAGAAAAGAATAAGAATTAATTTGCTAGAATAATGAAAAGCTATATATGAAAAAATAACTTAAATAAACCAAAATGTTTATAGTGGTATGGTCTTTAAATCTTGGGGTTATTGCTCTACCAGAAAGCCTGTCCTAATGAATACATAAAGCCAAGAAGGTATTTAGATAGATGGTCAACAGGCACATAAATACAAGAAATCATTTACTTGAAATAGTATCCAGCAGGGCCAGCAAGAAGGCTCAGCAGGTAATGGTACTTGTTGCCACAACTTGAAACCTGAATTCAATCACAGAGCCCATATGGTGGAAGAAGAACACTGACTCCTGCAAGTTGTCCTCTGACCTCCATACGTGTACTGTGGCACACACATGAGCATGCACACATTGTACCCACAAATACATGTTTAAAAAAGGGGGGGGGGATAACCCAGGACTAGATACCTAGATACATAAGGCCAACTAGAGAAGGCTGTTAACAAAGCATGTGAACAGGACATTAGAGACAGATCAGAGATATCAAAGCATGAAGGAGACATCCTTGGGCAATGCCTGTCTCTACAATGAAGAAGAGAAGAGTTCTGGCAAAGAGCAAGCAAAAACTTCTAAAGATGGCGAAAAGAACATGTAGGAGACAAAGGATCAGTGCCAGTAAAAAAGGTGGCAATGTTCACCAGGGTCAGGATTTAAACAGACAGTAAGGACTGGGCATGGTGGCACATGGTTTTTATTCCAGTACTTAGGAGGTGGAGGCAGGTGGATTTCTGTGAGTCTAAGGCCAGCCTAGTCTACAGAGTTCAAGGGCAGCCAGTATTACACAGTGAGACTCTGTCTCAAAACTCTAAAGAAAAAAAAAAAAAGGCAATAAAGACAATTAGATTTTATGACTGTCAAAAAACAGTGCTTGCAAAAGTAAAGATGACAAGGAAATATCTGTGTTAGAAAAGGATTCTGTATGCAATACAATTAAAATTCCATTATATAAATATTCTGAAAGTAGTTCATAAAATACACTTTTCTGATCATGGTCTAGAGTATTAACCTCCTCTCCCCCAATCCCCATCCACTTTTTTTTTTTTTTTTTTTTTTTTTTTTTTACGAGACAGGGTTTCTCTGTGGTTTTGGAGCCTGTTCTGGAACTAGCTCTTGTAGACCAGGCTGGTCTCGAACTCACAGAGATCCACCTGACTCTGCCTCCCAAGTGCTGGGATTAAAGACGTGTGCCACTACCTCCCGGCTTCCCCATCCACTTTGAAACAAGATCTTCCTAAATAGTCTTGGCTGGCTTGGAACTCACTATGTAGGCCAGATTGGCCTCAAACTCACAGATCCCCTTGCCTCTGCCTCCCAAGTGATAGGAATAAAGCATGTGAATCCAAGCTCAGCAAACCTCTTTCTTTTAATCTTAACTTAAAACAAGGATACATTCACAAGCATCAAAAATATAGTCTAAAGAGCATACCAAAGCCACACAGAGAAACCCTGTCTTGAAAAACAAAAACAAACAAAAGAGCAGAACAGTGGCAAGACAATGTGACAATGTTCTGTTATGATCTGCATGTGCACAGCACTTACCTTGGGATGCATATTGTTTTCTTTAACTAAAATTTCTGGTTCTGAAAGAAAACTGAGAAGCTCTTTTACTTTCTGGGGAGAAGAGTCTTCAGGAAAATCTTCATCTACTAGCTTATTCTCCTCAAAATATGTCATGTCTAATATGGCCTTAAAACAACAACAAAAAAAGTATATGTAAAAGATGAAACTTTACAGGATAGCAAAGTGTTTAGCCTTTATTAGACACTCAACCATGTCAGCACTGTATTTAAATTTGAAAGGAAGCAAAATGTTCAGGCACCAAAAGGATTACTGTCTCAAGAAGTAAATGAAGATTCATGTTTCAATTAACATGTCATAATTATGAAAATGTAATCAATTATTATTTGCTGTTCATATCTGTATAATTCCCAGATAATTTATAAATACCTGAAGTTTTATAGTCTAATTCTACTTTTTAATGCTGAATCTTTGGGGGATTTGTGTTCCCAAATATACAGCCAGTATTTGAGAGCATACACCCTGCCACCACATAAATGAAGTATGCCATCAATGTGTGCACTTCTAACACTGAGTCCCCAGCAGCCTGTAAGACCTTAAAACTCCTTAGTCCTCTTACTTATTTTAATCTGCTGGAAACTGGGTTACAGTGGTAGTTTTTCTACTGGTCACAAAACTAACCATGGACAAGCCAGTACCTTTCAAAGTTCCTTTCTTTAAGAGTAAAATGAATATGTAAAACACATGAAACACTACAAGCACAATTTGTGATACTTAAGTAATAAGGCCTAAGCCTTATCCCCAAGGGCAGAGAGATCAGGCTTCTTACAATCTTGATTCAGAGCCATGAGCATCTTACAGAGGAAGCTAAGGAATCAGAGTCATGAGCAGAGTTCAAGGCATGGGAAATCTAAGTCTGTATCCCTAGATATTCTGCTGTATTGGGAGAAGTTCAGTATTTAGAGGATCCTCATGTGAAAGACAAGCAGAATACTCACCATAGCAGACAAGAGGGAAAAGTTTTCTGAAGAGCTAGAGACTTCCAAGTTAGTTCTTAGGGTTTAGCTACTATAGGCTAAGTCAGTCATGCTTGGAGGCAGTAACACTCTTATGTACCTCCTATGAAGAAGCACAGTGCTACAAATGTGCACTTTCCAAACTTAACCAAGTCCTCCATTTTTCATAACTACTTTATCTTTACTCTCTTAGCAATCAAGAAAGGGCATACGAGAGCACTTTGCCAACTATAAAGTGCTATTCAAGTATCAATTACTATAATGGCATACAGTTCATTCAGATGTCAGCTTGTTTGGAAAGACCAAGAAAGCATATACCACCCAAAAGGAAGGTGTGGTTGTTTGAAAGAAAATGGCCCCAATAGAGAGTGGTACTCTTAGGAGGTGTGACTTTGTTACAGTAGGTGTGGCCTTGTTGGAAGAAGTGTGTCACTGTGGAGGTAGACTTTGAGTTCTCATATGTGCTCAAGCCATGCCCAGTCCTTAGACTACTTCATGTTGCCAGCAGTGTAGGTCTCTCAGCTTCTCCAATACCACGTCTGCCTGCATGCCACCATGTCCTGCCATGTGATAATGGACTAAACCTCTGAAACTGTGAGCCACCCCAATTAATGTTTTTCTTTTACAAAAGTTGTTGTGGTCAGGGTAACTCTTCACAGCAATAGAAACCCTACCGAAGACAGAAAGCAAAAAGTAACAGAAAAACGTCACGAATGCATATGATGACAGCACAGCAATCATGTTTACTGTGAGAATCATCCTAAGAAAAAGTGAATTCCAGGGAAGAAAATTAGGCATTAATTTCTAGAATTCTGATTAGTTATCAATAATTATTTTAATAGCAGTATTTTTCTTTACGTATCTAATGAATCTTACTCCTTTCAAACTGCAGTTTTTTTTCTTTTTAGCAAAATTCAATGCTTTACAATTAATTTAATTTTATTTATAAACAAGTTTATAAATAAAATTTGATTTTATTTATTTATATAACCTTTGGAAGCCTAGCATTTAAATAATCTGATATCAAAATGCCAGAGTTCAGGGACTGAGAAAGATGGCTCAGTCAATGAAGTATTTGATGCGAACATTAGGACCTGACTTTAGATCCTCAGCACCCATGTAAGAAGCTGAGCCTGGCATTGGGCACCTGTAATCCCAGCACTGGGCAGGCTAAGAAAGTACTTCTCTGGCACTCACTGGCTGGCCAGCTGGCCCAGTTGAATTCATAAGTTACGGTTCAACGAGAGACCTTGTCCCAAAAATCAAGATGGAGCGTGACTGAAGAAAACACCTGACATCAACCTCTGATCTCCACGTGAATACACACAAGTCCACAAGTCTCCACGTCCACATGAAAGTGTGCATTAAACACACCCTCAGTAAAGCCAGACATCACATTTGTGTTAGTACCTGTGTGTACAGTTCCAAAAGATTTGACGGATTTGAACATTCTTGCTCTTCTCCACACAAGAGTTTCAATTTTTCTAGAGCTGCAGAGGCCCGAATTAAAAAGTGATCTGAAAGTAATAAAAACATGATTATTTTACATAAATCCAAAGGGCATTTTAAACAAAAAAAGTACTATGTAACAGAAATGATATAAAGAAACTATACTGTGGAAAGATAGCAATTTCTTACCTAAAATATTATTTCATACATAAAACCCAATCACAATGAAATTAATTTATTCTTCAAAGCAAAGGCTTAAAGTTTTTTTTTAATTCACTGTTGCTATTTCTTAAATTTAGAAATAGCATTCTTAAAAGACTTTATTAAGGAATTAAGTATACAGCTCACTCTTTCTTGGTATGTTATGTGTAGTGTACATGCATATGTATGCTTGTTTACACACATGAGCACACACATGCAGGATGCACGTGGAGGGCAAAGACTGACATCAAGATGTCTTCCTCAAGCCAGGTGGTAGTAGCACACGGCTTTAATCCCAGCACTCAGGAGGCAGATGGATCTCCGTGAGTTCAAGCCAGCCTGGTCTACAAGAGCTAGTTCCAGGACAGGCTCCAAAGCTACAGAGAAACCCTGTCTTGAAAAACCAATAACAACAATAAAAAAGATGTTTTCCTCAATCATTCCTTACCTTACATATTGAGGCAAGGCCTCTCACTTGTACAAGGAGCGTGCGATTCTGCTGGTCTAGCTGGTCAACTTACCCGGAGGACACTGGGATTAAATGTGGCCCGCTACAACTCACATTTACAGCAGTTCACCACACTACACAACATGTGCTTTACCTTCTGAGCCATCTATGTAGCTTTCAGGTTATTATATTTTTTGCAATGTAGAAATACGCAAAATACTTAATAAATTTACAACCTTTATGGGAATGCAAAATCCACAAATTTGCAGAAAGAGCTTCCACTGAATGCATGTAACTTCATAAATGCAATTGCAAATGTTTCCTAAAAGATTAATTGGCCAAATCTTTGTGAAAATATCAGACTGTAAACAACTCTAACATACTTCCATTTTTAGTTGCTATAGCTCCAATTATAATCTAGAGAGCTATCTTATTCCTTTAAAATTTTGGTATGGGGCAAACTACCTCATTCCTTCAAAACCTACAGAAAAACAAACAAAACCAACAACAAACAAACCTTCTACTACCTCAATACACTTTATCACAATTTACCCAACTTTCCAACCTTCACCATCTCCCCATCACTACCACATTTTCTTGACTTCTGATTTCAGACTTTGTGGGTCCCAAAGACACTATCCTCCCTCAAATTTCACTTCAGTAGTAAAATGTATATATGCATACCACAGTACAAGACACTAAAGTCTCTAGGCCTCTTATCTGAAACACAGGACCATTTCTAACCATTTGCCAGTGGACAATGTAGTAGTTGGTGTGGTCTCATCTGATCCAGCCTCTGCAGTTACATAAAGAGATAAGTTATTCAGTGTTAGAATAAAAACCCCATCAGGTATGGCAGCTGGCAGTTATATAACACCCTTTAGCTTTCCGATTTAAAAAAAAAAAAAAAAAACTAAACTATAGCTTTAGAGGAATTTTTGTTGCTGTAAGATCACTATTCACCTACACTGAATGCTATCTACTTAGGTCTCTTCCTATCTCTCCTTGGCCCAAAAGAACCAACCAACCAACTCAGAACACAAGATTCTACTGTGAACCCAAATAGTATGGAATGCTGCACTCCCGACATGCTTAGATTATAGTAAATGCCGAGACTTGTATTGAACCAAGTCATTGCTGAAGCAAGATGTTATAGTTGTTACCATAGGAGGGGTGTGGTGCTGGCATAGCTAGAAAAGTCCATAAAAACACATTCCCTTTAGCTAGAAATACTTAAAGTAAACTGGCAAGACAAGAGAGAAAAGTGACTCACATGATCTCTGGAAAATATCCTTCTTATGGTCTAATTCCATACAAGACAGTATTATACTGCTAACAATCAGAAAAAAAATAAAATAAATGGCCACAAACACGAAGAGCATTCTTAAGTGAAATGAAGATGGGCCTTATATAACCTAGTTTGAATAGAAACTCTCAATACTGACGACTTAATAAAAAAATGTTAGGCTAAAGGATAAGTTTCCAATGTGTTTTGTTTTTGTCGTATGGAAAAGGGTCAAGTATAATTTAAATACATGTAAGTTCTATTAGTAAATATCTGGTAAAATTAACTTCAACACTGACTAGGAGCTCACAAAGTGGACAGCTATGGCTGTGGATTAAGTAAAATTTCAGATGTATAAAGACTCCAAAACTATGAAACACTCAATTTTTCTTTCCAGGTATCCTCTACATAGGATCACAGAATTCTTTCAAAAGAAAATATGAAAGACTGTTGGGTTCAGCAATAAGAGAATAAAAATTATTTGTGCTCTGGGATGATCCAAATAAAGCTAGAATTAAAAGAAACCTGGATATAGACTAGGCAAGTCACTACTGAAGCCTGTTTCACTTGCCACAAACCAAAAGACATAGCCTCAGTGTGGTGTGTGGGACACTGAAGAACACCGTCCGGCGTAGAAATACTCCAGCAAATGTTCTTCATTGAAAGTGGGCCATTTAATTGCAGAACCGATTCTGTAAATATACCAACTATTCAATCACTTGGGAAAATGTATGAGTCTAGCTACAAGTATTTTAAGGCTCGTGCACGGTAAAGGCTCAACATTCAAATGAAGTACTGCCGAACCAATTGCAACTGAGAAATTATAAAAAGCAAACTGATTCCGATGTCAAAAGAACGATGTGTTTCGCATCCCATTTTTGTTTCCTCCCGAGGAAACATCTCAAGACATTTCTCAGAATACACAAGGCTCGGCGAGGACTGAGATGATGTGGAGGGAAGCTCATTTCAACTACACCAGGGCAACTGTGTGAAATTCCGTTTATTTACAACTGAATTTTGAACTGAACACAAAGGGGAAATTTACAAGGCAGTAATGAGAACGTGAACTGTCATGCACGCCTCTCTGTATTTGCTGGATGAAAAAAAAAAAAAGCATCGTTCATTTGGGAACAGTTAGGCATTCAGGAAAACGTCCGTGTGTACTTTTACTCAGAGTCTAGCCTTTGCGCAGATTCGACACTACACATCTGGTCGGATGTAAACAGGGTTTCAAGGCGTGTGAAGCCCGCTGCAAGGCAGCGCGACTTCGGAGGAGAGGGTAAATGACTGCCCAATGGGGGCCGGCTCAGAAGCGCCAGCCCTCGGAGGGCCAGGACCAGGGACCCCGCCTAGGAGCGCAGGCCGCGCCTTCTGGCCAGCGAGCGCGGCGGGCCCGAGGGTCTCCCCACCGTCCGCCCGCCTCCCTCTGCGGCGCTCCCTCACCGTCTTCCCCCGCGGCTTCGCTAAGGTGCTGTATGTGGGCCTGAGCCAGGTCCCCGAGCTCTTCCACCCGCCTCACCACACCGGACACCGCGGCCGCCATGGCCAGCTCGGGGCGCGCCGGCCCGTCCACGTGACCGCGGCGGCCTGCGATCACCTGATGGCCTCGCTGGCGGGGCGGGGGCGGAGCCCTCGCGGCCGGTGGGCGGAGACATAGGCCCCGGGCGGTGACCGTCCTGGCCCGCAAAGGTCGTTCCGGGTATTTAGTTCCTCCGCGGCAGCCCGTCCCTCCCACAATCCTGTGCTGCGAGGGAGCCCATATGACGTCAGGGCACACCTCCCTCCCGCCTACTTCTTTCAACCAATCGGCAGCCGGCCATGCTCCAGGCTGAGCCAATGGGACGGCGGCTGGCTCCGTGGGCACGGGGAGAATGCAGCCCCTGCAGCCCCTGCAGCCCCTGTTACTTGCCGGCAGCGGGCCGCTTAGAAGGTCTGGAAAGAGGATTGCAGCTGTTGGCCCTGTAGGAAGGAGGTTGCCAAAAATAAAACGACTGTAGTCCCGCGGTCAGAAACGGAAGTCTGCGGATGGGTGAGGTTCATCCGAGCTCCTCCGAGACGAACAATTAGGCCGTCCGCGAGGTGCTAGATAGAGTAACGAATATTAACCCTGCAGCTTGTCTTAGCTCAGATACATCTTTCCTAGCTCACATTTTAAAGTACCTTCAGTGTCCCGCGCCCTAAACGTGGTAGGTAGTTTAGTTCAGTTTGAGACGCTTCTTACAAGTGTTAAGAGTTCTTCCGGATTTTAGTAGGCACTCAAACCGCTTTACATTCCATTAATGCTAATTCTTGCCTATGGCCACGGACACCTTAAAGCTCTTTGTGAGTTTTTTCTGTTTGACACAGTATATCTTGAATAACTCTATCCTTTCCGTCTTAGTTTTAAGGTTTTTGTTCTTACCTAGTAGAAAATACTAAAAGTATAAAAATAGTATTGGATCTCTTAAGAGTGACTAACCACAGTGACTTGCCTCCAACTAGCCTTTGTAACTTCAGGGTCATCCTCGTGTCAACTCACTCAAAATGCACGGAACAAAAACCATGTGCTGTGTCCTTGGTGCTTGTATACCTGGCACATATGTATATGGTTTTTAATCGAAAACAATTAACAAAATCTTCCAGATACTTTCTAATCAAGAAACTGAAGGCCAGGAAAATTTTATCATCATATAAGCAAGGCGAACCGAAGAATGCAAATGCTTCTGCTGGAGTGTCGGCTGACTCCTGAATTCCCAGCCCTTGAGAGGCTGAGGCCAAAGGAACACTGCCAGAACTAGAGCAGCCTGCACAGGAGACAAACAGCTCACAGAAGCTGAAGGATCCATATTCTAACATGCCAAACTGACTAAATAAAACTGACAGTCATGAGCTGGGGTGATGATCGGATAAGAGGACTGGGTGAATAACCTGGCTGACAACCACATGGCCACTCACAACTATCTAGACCCAGGGCATCTGATGCCCTCTTTTGGCCTCTGTGAGCATTGTGTGCAGACATACATGCAGGCAAAATATCCAAACACATAAAGTAAATGGAAAAAAAAGTTGTAATTACAATTATAGTGATGCAGCCAAATCATAGTAATCAAAATGGAAAGTCTTAACACTGGGAATATTGTTCAACTGATATTCCGGTGTGTCCATTTTCAGAGGGGGGGGGAGAGTTGGAAGGGATCTGAGCTAGCAGTCTAGTCTGTTATTTGCAGAAAAAGGAGACCGTTAACCCCCCAAACCATAGAATATATGATTCTGTGGTTTATCCAAGATCATGACAACCTCCCAAGGAAAGCTGGTTTCCCCACGGTAATACACAGGCAACAGGCGGCCCCTCACCGTCCACAATAAATCATTTAAACCCAGAGAACCCCTGCACTAGAAAAAAAGCATTTCCCCCTACAGCTTATAGTAAATTCTTTTTTTCCTTCCAGAAACCCACATGAACAGTACAAATAAAAGATAATTCTAGATTTATTTTTAATATCAGATTAATTACAATGTACCAAAAATATATAAGAAACAAAGTGGTTACATTCAAACCATCTTCCTCTCCACTAACATATAATTAAAGAAGCTGGCAAAGAAGAAATAAATTTTTGTAGATGTTTATGAAAGAGTTAAAGTTTACAAGTGTAAGTATTTTGTTGTTTGTTTGTTTGTTTGTTTGTTTTTTCTAGACAAGGTTTCTCTGTGTATCTCTGGCCGTCCTGGAACTCTCTCTGTAGACCTGACTGGCCTCAAACTCAGAGATTCATCTACCTCTGCCTCCCTGAGAGCTGGTATTAAAGATGGGCATCACCACTGCCTGGTTAAGTGTAAATACTTGTAAACAGAAATCTTGCTTGTCTCTGAACTACTTTTACCAATGACTTGCAGCATTCTCTTATAAACTTCTTTAACTACTTTGCGTTTTTGTTCGGGACTTATTTTCTCATCTAGGTGTGCCAAATAACAACAGCGATGTGTGTCTGTAAGTTCAATTACTTGCCACTGGCGACTTTTATATAGTCGAACCTTTTGATGGTGTTCTGAGTTATGAGGGCCGGTGGAAGAAAGAGAGACACTGCAGAATGAATCTGTGCTTAGCAAAAGCAGCAGCGGGAAATCAGTCTCCATGGACTTGACTTTCTAGGAGCTCTGCAGAAGCTGTTTTTATTGATACGCAAAAGGTCTTTTAGAAAGCCGACTCCCCATACCAAAATCCCTTATCTGAAGGAGTCATTGTCTTAAGGAACTGTGACCTAGGCAAGCAGTCTTAAGAATTCCAGTTCTGCTTCCTCCACTTTTGCTTCTCTAGCCTGATCACCAAGCTCCATGGCCGCTGCTTCCCCTTCCCACCAAGTAAGCTCGGCAACTGAGGACCAGCTTCTAATCTAGCTGCCACGAAGTCTGAGAAATCACTCTATTCTGAGTAGCCAAATTATGTAAACTCTGTCTTACCTTAGGTAAATGCATACCCTATGCCTCTGCTTCTTCTTTAACCACCTCAGAGCTGTCGTTTCTGTAGACTTCCAACTCACCTGAACATAACCTTAAGGATATTGGTTTGCAGGCATTTGCTGCACAGTGACTGGAAAGCACCTGAGGCGGCATGCTTATGACCTTAGGCAGCAATTCCTCAGTTCCTTCATGAGGAGACTCCAGAGGTCTTTGATGGTGATTAATTATTTCCTCTCTTCTTTCTAATGGGAAGAAACTCCCCCCCCCCTTATTTCATTCCTTTTATTTGCATCTGCAAATTTTGCAATTCTATACTTAATGCTACAATTTTTTTTTTAAATCTGTTTCGTCTAAAAGAGGAGTAGTGTCTTGGCCTTCCTCCCTTTTGCCTTCCTCCTGAACATCACTTTTATCTCCGAGGCAACATTCTCTGCGGTCTGACTGAACTGCTCTCGGTCTGACCCAGTTTTTTCTGACTCTTCACGCTGCAGAGGCTCCAAGGCTTTGGAAATTGACTTACACTAAAGATCAAAGCCTTACTGGTGTAGTTTCTCCTCTTTGATGAACTCATCTCCCAGCTCTCAGTATTTCTTTCCACACTATTAATTTTAATTGAACGTGAAGAGTTGCCTGAAATCAGCAGCAATGATGCTTAAGCAGTACTGATAGCTCAAGTAAGCTGTTTTGTGTTTGGTTTGGTTGGTTGGTTGGTTGGTTGGTTGGTTGGTTGGTTGGTTGGTGGGTTTTTCACATCCACTCCATTTTCTTTCGGAAGAATTTTAACAACTGCATACATTGTTGCTCCTGAGATGGGGAATTCCCCAGGTCCCTGCCAAATCCTGGAGTCTCACTTACCGGTGAGTAATCATCCCCTCCAGTCCTGGAGTGTCCTGACTGCTCTTTTCTCTGAGCCCACCTCACTGGGTGCCACATGTCAGTGTTCTGAGTCACATGGGCCAGTTGAAGGAAGAGAGACACTGCGGGACGAATGTAGGCTTAGCAAAAGCAGCAGGGGTGTCCGTTCTCTGGGACTAACTGGGTAAGAGCACTGCAGCCCTTCTTAGCCTTTTTGCAAGTAAATTCCCTAATAGCAAAATATCTTATCTGAACTAGGAGTTGTCTTAAAGAACCATTAACTAAGAAAACACCGACACTATAAAAATTCCAGCTTTGTTGGAAATGTCTTACGACTGAGGTTATACTAAGATTCTAAAACCCCCAAGAAAAAGCAGCCTTATAAATCTCAGATAACAATTAATGATTATCTATAGGAGATTATTTCAAGGCCTAAGTGACCATCACTCCAGAGTAAATTCCAGGTACAATTGATGTGGGAGTGTTATATATCAATCTGTTGATTTCATTGGCTGAGCAATAAAAGAAACTGCTTGGCTGGCCCTCAGCTTAGAACATAGATGGGAGGAGTAAACAGAATAGAATTCTGGGCGGAAGAGGAAGTGAGGTCAGACTCTGCTCTGCTCCCGGAGAGACCCGACAGCTCTGCTGGAGCAGAGACGCCATGCTCAGCTCTCCCAGGCAGCTGCAACCCACGACGGACTTAGGCTAGAATCTTTCCGGTAAGCGCACCTTGGGGTGCTTACACAGATCATTAGAAATGGGCTAGTCCAGGTGCGAGAATTGGCCTGTAAGGGCTAGAGTTCATGGGCCAAGCAGTTCTTTAAATGAATACAGTTTGTGTGTTGTTATTTCGGGCATAAGCTAGCAGGCGGCTGGGGTGTTGGGGACGCAGCCCCGCCGCCGCTCCATATTTCAACAGTACAATGGCCCTTTTAATCTTCCACTACAACCTGTTACATATTTATTGACTCACGAGCTATGATTGGCACTGAAACTTCTGGCTTAATCCCTGCCCTCTTGCAATTTATTACTTAGTAAACTACTATAGAGATAATAACAATATACAAATGAATGTACAAATGTAGAATTGTGGAAGGTAAGATACTGCAGAAAGCATTCCTCAGGAAATGATATGAACACCTAAATGGTGATAGAATTATCCAAAGGAGAGCAATAATTGCTTAGTCAAAAGGCAGTCAAGAGAGAGAAAACACAAGGTGTTGGGCATGGTGATACACACCTCTAATCCAGGTCAAATGATGAGTTATAATCTTGAGTT